TACGAACAGTATATGCAGAGAAGAAAGGGCCCTTATCCAGCATGTACTGTGAAGAACTCACATACATCAATGCAGAAAGACTGACCAACCAATAGAAAAACAGGCAAGAGAGGAAATCCAAATGGCCAATAAACATATGAAAAGGGGCTCAGTCTCATGAATCATAGCGAAATGCAAACTGAAACCATTGTTAATGAAGTACCAGCACACACCAGCAGAATGGCCAGGATGGAAAGGCTTTCCTCGGGTATTGGTGGGAGGGTGGAGACACTGGCGCTCGTTCACTGATGGCAGTGTGCACCACTGGAAGCGCTTTGGAAGGCTGTTTGCGGTATCTAGCGGGCGTCGCCGTCACGGCACATGCCCATGACCCAGCAGACCAGCCCTGCTACGTGCAGACACATGCACACACACACGCATCAGAAGGCAAGTACAGAGGCATTTGTGGCACTGTGAGTCATCAGAGCTAGAAACGGGGAAGAACCCAAATGTTCATCTCGTCCAAGGGATGACGACACGGCACTGTGGCCCTGCGGTGCGCTAGGGTACGGTGGTGAACGTGACTGGGTCGTAGTGGATGACTCTAACCAACCTCAGGTTGAGCTAAAGAAGTTGAGGGCATACCTTTTTTTCTTTTTCCTAGATGGAGTCTTGCTCTGTCGCCCAGGCTGAAGTGCAGTGGCGTGATCTTGGCTCACTGCAACCTCCACCTCCTGGATTCAAGCGATAAGAGAATGGAAAATTTTTTGATTCCTTGTATCTAAAGTTCACAGTGAAACTACACCAGTCTGCTGTGAGCTCTCTGGCAGGTGGAGGGGCTGGTGACTGGCAGGGAGTTCCTGCAGGAGCTACTGCTCTGATTCTGCTTTCATGGGTGGCATATCAGGCGTTCACCTGGGACTCCTGCACCTTCCAGTGTGTGGGCTGCACTCAAATGGTAGGGGTATCAAAAGGAAGAACAAGAATGCCTTTACTTTTATACTTGAAAGTGGCAAAATGGCACTTGCCATTGCTAATACAGCGATCAGGAGAGGAGGAGGGGCTTTAAGGAAAATTAATATAAATTAAGAATTAGTTTCAAAAGTCTGTTATTCACAAAAGATGATATCCAAATGGCCAAGAAGTGTCTGACGGCCCATTAGGGAAATGTGAGTTTTCTGGAGACGGTGAAGCCACCACCTGGTTCCAGAGTGAGGTGTCCAAGCTGCATGCTCTGCCATTCAGTCTCAGGCTCTCGGGGCAGAGCGGAGGCTTGGTGTTTGTTGTGTTGGGTGCTGTGGCATGCTGGGTGGCAGATGCCACCATAGAGGCATGGCTTTCGTAATGTTGGCTGAAGTGCCCATTTTCTGTGTCAGCCACTGTTTAGGAGCAAGGGGCTGACACTTGTTTGGACGACTCAAAGCCGTGAAGCCATGGCTGCAGAACAATCGCTCTTTTCCAGAGTTTGTGAGACTTTTGTGTTTTATTCTCAAGCTGCACTATAGTGGGTAAAATGAGCCCGGATGGCTCTGGCACTCTCTTCCCTTCCCCCGCGCTCTTGCGTCTCTGCTGCAGGGATGCTGGGGGGAGAAGAGTGCTGGCGCTGCCTGTGTTCCGCTGTGAGTAGCCTGGCGCACTCGGGGCTGGGGGCGTCTTCGGAGTCTGAGAAGGTGTCCCTCAGTTGAGGCAGGGGTAACATTGCAAATAGTTTTACCCATGGTAGCCAAACACTGGAAACAACCCAGACACTTAAAAGGAGTGGATAAATAAACTGTGGCCAACTTGTGGAAAGGTTTAATAAGCAGCAGTGAAAAAGAACAGGCTGACAGACTCCGCAAGGTTGAATCTTAAAGAGACTGTGTTGAATTAAAGAAGCCCCATGTACAAAAGAGGACGTGCTGTGTGATTTCATTATGTGAAGTTCACAAATCAGCCAGAAGGAATTGATGGTGGCCGAAGTCAGGATAGGGGGTGCCTCTTTGGGGTGGGTCTTGACTAGGAAAAGGGACTTGAGAGAACCTTCTAGAATAATGTTGTTGCTTGATTAGGTGGTGGTTACATTTGTAAAAATCATGGACCTCTAAATTTAGGGTTTGCACCCCTCACATACCTTGTTGTATATATTTTGCCACTTGTTTTTTCAAAGCAATGAAAAAGTATCACTGCAATGAAGTTGTAAATAAATTGTTTCGTTAACATGTCTGGAAGTCTTCCATGTCCCACTGTGGAAGGTCTCGCTGCTGCAGAGCCCACCTCTGTCAGGCCCTGGAAAGTATAGAGAAGAAGCAGAGTGCCCGGCCCCCTTTGGGGTGTTACCTGGGGTTTGGGTGGGAGCTAAGAGACACACACAGTAAGTAGTAACATACTGCAGAAAGGCTTGTGTATGCCACATCACTTGCCCAATTCATATGCGTGTCTTTCTTTTCCATAGAAGTTTTAAAATGATGTGTGATAGGAAGTGTAGGGAGCTGTGATTCTCCTGGGAAACAGAGCACGGAGCCAGGGAGCACTCGCAGCCAAGACCAGAGCAGGCCCCGGGGAGGCTTCGCACTGTGGGAGGTGTGAGTTCCAGAGGGAGGGGTGGCCGAGCTCACCTTCAGGTTTCTGTTATTCAGTGACAGCCTGCCCTGTACCTTGGCGTGGGTGTGTGCAGGACCTGCCTGCTCTCTCCCTCCTCTTCCGGGGTGGAAGTTGAAGGTGAAGTCTCAGCAGTCAGTGGCCAATGGCTGCCACTAGATTTTGTTGTTTTTATTCCAGAAAAGCTGCTACTACCTGATGCTGCTACTTTTTTAATACTGTCGTTCAAGCTTACCAAAGTGGGACTTGCTCTTTGCAGGAGAAAAATATACCAAGAACTGTTCTATAATCATGCCACGCAGTAATTAATGCCATCGTTGGCATTTTGGTGTATCATTTGGGAGCCTTTCTGAGGTGCACCTGTGCTCTCAGGCGGCTCCTCAGCTCTCGGCTGCTGCTGTTCCCTGCTGACTCAGTCAGCGCCTGGTGCCTCGGCTGCTCCTGCTTCTGCATCCAGCGCCCTCTGCCGCGGCTCCCCTGCTGTAGCCCTTGGGCTTTATCTCCCTTCTCTGTGGATGCATCTTGACCACAAGCCCTGTACGCCTTCCTGCTTTGTAGGAGTCTCTTGTGGTCGGTCTCCTAGGAGGTTTTTTTTGTTTTGTTTTGTTTTGTTTTTTTTGAGATGGAGTTTCGCTATTGTTGCTCAGGCTGGAGTGCAGTGGCATGATCTTGGCTCACAGCAACCTCCACCTCTCGGATTCAAATGATTCTCCTGTCTCAGCCTCTCGAGTAGCTGGGATTACAGGCACATGCCACCACACCCTGCTAATTTTTGTATTTTTAGTAGAGACAGGGTTTCATCATATTGGTCAGGCTGGTCTCAAACTCCTGACCTCAGGTGATCCACCCACCTTGGCCTCCCAAAGTGCTGGGATTACAGGTGTGAGCCACCGTACCTGGCCTCTCCTAGGACGTCTTTCTGTCACCAGTGTGTGCCCAGGGGAGGCACATGTTTACAGAAGCTTTTGCGCAGTGGGTACTTGTGGTGGTATCATCTTGGGAGATGAAAAGTATCCCAGATCTCCTGGCACTTGGGAACCAGGCGGGCCTGCAAGGTGCAGTCAGCCTGCTCCAGGTCTGCTCTGGTTTGACTGATGAGGACGCTTATCAGTCAGAGGGACACGCTCTGTCCAGGATCTCAAAGCTGCGTCCTGCTGCCCCGCTTTTCTGCGCCTTCCCTCAGTGGGGTGTGTTTGGGTGAGAGAGTTGCACAGCTTTCTGAAAGTGGCTTCGTATTACACAGTTTTTGTCCTATGCTGATTTTTTTCCCCATAAGATTTAAGTAGCGTATCTTATTTTTCAAAAATTGGGCATTTTAGCTTTTATGGGAACATTTGATGGCAGTCTGTTCCTTCCTTGTTGGTTCTAGGTCCTTTATTTGTGCTCAGGGTGCCTTGCAAGAGTTCTTATGGGAGTCAGTTTCCCCGGCAGTGGCAGCTCATCACCTGTTGACTGGTGATTTGAAGAGCACCGGTGAACACATTTCACCAAAACTAAGACACGTCATGAAGTTAGTGCCACCAGAGAAAAAGCCAGCATTGCCACTGAAGAGTGTGAGGTGCCACTTGATTAAGAGAAACGTTTCTATTTCAGAGGTGCTAGAATGTGGGGGACGCTGCATCTTACAGAGCAGGCGCTTTTGCTTTTCCGATGGTGTTTCTTTTTTGTTTTTAAGTGGAAAGGCTCAAGGAAATACAGAAGCAGAGAGGATAGCGTAATGCGTGCGTGGGACCCAGGAGCAGTCAGAGTAGGCGCGGTGCCTGGCCAGCTCTGCTTCGTCTGCGTCCTTGTTCACTTGCCCTGGGACGTTTTTCAAATACAGACATTGGGTTTCTCCTGTAAATACTGCAGTGTATCGGGAGCAGTAGGGAGCTCTTCTTCCCAGACATAATTGTACTGTCTTTATCACACCTGAAGAGTGAACTGTAAGTCCTCCTGTGATATTTCTACTCAGTATTCAGTTTCTGCTGTTGAACGTGATCTTTCTTAAATGTGAGCAAACAGTCATCTGAAGTCTTAGTTTTCCCTCCCCAAGTGACACTGATGTGTGGCCAATCCTCACTCTTAAAGTAAATGATCATATTTGGTCTTTTTCTAGGCTTTTCCTTTTTTTAAAAAAAAAAATATTTTTCTGTATATATTTTTCAGAACTAGACCTGCAGAGGCTTTTTCTTAATAAGGTTTTCAAAAATACAATAATTGAAAGTTATACCTAAAACCTGATAACACATCTGAATATAGGTCACACTGCTTTTCTCTTCCCATGTGAGTGTAGGTGATTAGTTTCTCTCTCCTGTAGCTCTGCAGATCACAGCGCTGTTAGATGAGGTGGCTGCTTGAGGGAGGGAGGGTTTCACACATTGAAGCTAGAGCATGTGGGTTTGTTCAAGCTACAGCTCTCCCGGAGAAAGAGCTCTCACACGTTCACACTTGCACCCCCACAGGTCTCCGTCCCGCCTGGTGCTCTGGACTGCTGGGTGTTTCTGAGCTGTCTGGAGGTGTTGCAGAGGATAGAAGGCTGCTGTGACCGGGCGCAGATCGACTCAAACATTGCCCACACTGTGGGGCTGTGGAGCTATGCCACAGAAAAGGTGCCTACCTGCTCAAGTGTGGAACGCTCGTGTTGTCTCTGCAGCCATGCCTGGGTGGTGGAGGAAGTCTGCTGTTTGGAGCTGCTTTCCTCCTGCTTATTTAGATCATGATGCATCCACTTTAGTGGCTGTAGGAGGTGTCTGGGTGCAACCAAAGAAGTCATAGTTCCCTACCACATGTTGATGTAGTCAGCGGACAGCAGGCATTCGCTGTGCTCCCGTGAAAGTGACTCTGTACCCTGAGTCGGGGGACATGGAGGGTGGTGCGGAAATCTCACCTCAGCAGGCAGAGCTGTGCTGGTGTGTGCAGCAGGTAGGCTGACCGGGCGTGGCTTCTGCAGGTGCAGGCGGAGTGTGGGGAACTCAGGGAGCTGAAGGGCAGAAGCAGAGGATTCCCGCCCTCCAGGTCTTACTGGGAGCTGTTGTGTAGGATGTAGTTTGTATCCAGATTTGAGTCATTTGGGTAGGAAAGCTAAATTTCTTCTAGAATTTAGCTGGATTTGAATTGTTATATTTAAATTCTTGAATTCCCTGCTGACTCTTATGGCAAATTAATTGAAATTGTGAATTTATCTTAACAGTTAAAGTCCTTGGGCTATCTGTGTGGACTTGTGTCAGAGAAAGGACCTAACTCAGAGGATCTCAACAGGACAGTTGACCTTTTGGCAGGTTTGGGAGCTGAGCGACCAGAAACAGGTACTTTTTTGTATGTACCTATGTTAGTGGTGAGGTGGACAATAATGAAAATGTCCTTTGCAAGTTGGCACATTTAACCCAGGTTCTAATAGTAATCATATTACTCACCATTAGGAAAATTATACCCATTATTAGCTGACTGGATTGAAGCACCTGATATTTTACCTTTTAACAGCATAATGCAATATTAGAAATAGTTGAAGGAATTGGAAGGAGTTTGAGAAATGTAGCTGAGTTTCTCCTGGGCTTAAGGGACTTTATAGCTCTTGTTCAAATGCACCACTCTCTCTCCGAATTACAGATGATCTGTTTTTCTAACAGTACAACCTGATAGTTTTGTTTTGTTTTTTTTTTTTTTTAAAGAGACGGGGTCTCACTGTCTTGCCCAGACTGGAGTGCAGTGGCACAATCTTGGCTCATTGCAGCTTTGACCTCCTGGGCTCAAGGGATCCTCTTGCCTCAACCTGCCAAGTAGCTGGGACTACAGGTGTGTGCTACCACACTTGGCTAATTTTTTTAAATTTTTTGTAGAGATGGAGTATTGCTGTATTGCCCAGGCTGGTCTCAAACTCCTGGCCTCAAGTGATCCTCCTGCCCTGGCCTCCCAGAAAACTTTTTTAAATAAATTGGCCGGGCACAGTGGCTCACGCCTGTAATCCCAGCACTTTGGGAGGCCGAGGTGGGCAGATCACCTGAGGTTGGGAATTCGAGACCAGCCTGACCAACATGGAGAAACCCCGTCTCTACTAAAAATGCAAAATTAGCTGGGCATGGTGGCGCATGCCTGTAATCCCAACTACTCCGGAGGCTGAGGCAGGAGAATTGCTTGAACCTGGGAGGTGGATGTTGCAGTGAGCCAAGATTGCTCCATTGCGCTCCAGCCTGGGCAACAAGAGTGACACTCCATTCAAAAACGAAAAAAAGAAAAAAATTCTCCTGATTAATAAGGCTCTTTGAAAGGAGCATTACTCATTGTTTTAAGTGTTTAAGGGAAAAAATACTTAGTATTTATATTTCACTGTTTCAACTTGAGACCATTTCAGATCATTTCAAAAGTAATTTAATTCATTGGAGTATTTGTAAAATATGTTTCTAAAAAGTCTAGTTCTAAAGATCAGAGAAAAGCATGACACAAAAGTGTTTTGACTGTTTTATGAATATGTGAATTGAAAGAGAATATACATAATCATGTAGTTTCAGTTGGCATTGGCCATATTTATAATTTCACAAGAGTCAGGTGGGGTCATCTGCCTGCAGTATGTGAAGGTGAATGTAAAGTCATGTGACTGGACATAATGAAGATGAAGAAGGACTCTCGTTTCTTTCTGTTTAAGCCAACACAGCTCAGAGTCCTTATAAGAAACTGAAAGAAGCATTATCATCAGTGGAAGCTTTTGAAAAACACTACTTAGTAAGTATTAACAAGTGTTCAATGTTTGTTCCATGAATACCTGTCTCTAGAAAGCCTGTTGAGTTGGGAAGGAGCTGGTATTGGGGGCCCCTTCTTGTTAGTTTTTTTAGTTTCTTTGGTACCTGGGGAGTTGTGGACAAAACATGGAATAGTTGTTCATCAAATGCGTATTAGTACCCATGGTACCATATTAGGCATGGAATCATCTTTGAATATTTACAGTTTTGTTCAAATTGGGTTTTCTCACACAGAAATTATAAGAGAGGATAATGAATACTTTTCTTTGTAAAAAGGAGTAATTTGGACTTGGGCAGAGCTGTTGTATTTGATTTTGAACGATTTAAATTAGCGAAACTTTAAAAAACGGTGTAGGTAGAAGTGTGGTGGGTCAGCATCATCCCTGGGGTCATGGGTAACTCGAGCATTTGGACTGCCTGTAATGGCCGTACCTCTTACACACACGGGTATGAAAAATATCCAGCACGTCACCCACATGCAGAATGTCCTTGGAAAAGTTAGATGTTTTGCATGAGTTTGTGGGTTTCTTTTATTATTATGCTTCATAATTTTTACACAGGTTACCAGTTTTGATTATAACAGAAAAGCTCAACACAAAAATAGATGCAAAGGAAAAAATAATGTTATATTAATAACACGTCTTCTGCAGGCTGGGCCTGGTGGCTCATGCCTGTAATTCAGCACTTTGGGAGGCTGAGTCGGGTGGATCACTTGAAGTCAGGAGTTTGAGACCAGCCTGGCCAACATGGCGAAACCCCGTTCTGCTAAAAATACAAAAAGTTAGCCGGGCGTGGTGGCACCTGTAGTCCCAGCTGCTTGGGAGGCTGAGGCACAAGAATCACTTAAACCTGTGAGGCAGAGGTTGCAGCGAGCGGAGATCTTGCCGCTGTGCTCCAGCCTGAGTGACGGAGCAAGAGTCTGTCTCAAAACAAAAAACTCAACAATGTCTTTTGTGTCAGTTCTAGGTAAATAAATGTAGTATTTGTCTGTCATGAAAAGTTCAAGTCCATAATTGTTTTTTTACTTCCCCACAGGATTTGTCCCACGCTACCATTGAAATGTATACGAGCATTGGGAGGATTCGATCTGCCAAGTTTGTTGGAAAAGATCTGGCAGAGTTTTACATGTAATTGATTTTGTACTTTTTCTTTGAATTCTAAACATACACATGAGAAGATTTGTTACATATGGAGTTAATATAAAGTGTACGTAAATGTGTAGATTGAAAAGTGTAGATTCTCTTACCCAGTCCTCATAATTTTGTTTTTTAGTTTTTTCTGAAAACCAGATGGAGAGCTTTTCTGCTTGTTACTCTTAAAAACTGTTATTGGTCTTGGAGATTATTTTATTTAATCGCTTCTCGGCCTTTTGGCTAAGATCAAGTGTGGAGATTATTTTATTTAATTAAATATGTACATTTTTGTAACTAAGTTTAAATAATTGTGAGAAAGCATAATGGTGAGTAAATAGGCATACAGATCTTCCATATTTTGGTATACAGCATTTTATCAAGTATTAAGAGGATTGAAAACCTCAAAGCCGTTGATGTAAAGCTACTGCACGTGTCAGGCTTGTGAAAGAGGGATGATCTCGGGATAACTGGAAGAAGGTGTGTACAGATACTGCAGGATTTCCATTCCAGCTCTAGCTTTGAAGTTTGATTCCAGAAAACTCAAAATTTAGCATATTTCTAGTATGTTTCATAAAATCAGACTATCAAAGAGAAGAAACCCCAGTGGGTCATGTGGTTACTATTTCAAAGTACTGAAAGGAGATACAAGTTTAAGGAAAACGATGCTTGTTTTCATTTTCTTAAAAAAAAAAAAAAAAAAAGGTGTGATTGAAATGAGATCTTGAAATCTGTACTCAAGTAATTTCATAGGTGAAGCAAGAAATGAGAGTTTATTTGAGCTGATGTGAACTGGCTGGAAAGGGATTCTTAGATCAGCTAAGTGAACTTTCTAGCTTTCCAGATGTGGTTGGAGCAGCTTAGCCAATTACCCACTAATTAACGGCAGAGTTACAGCTAGAATATAGTTCTCTTGAATTTCCATGTAGTGTATCTAAAGAGGAAGGTGCTCCTTAATGAAGCAAATAGGCTTCTTCGGGAAGGGAAGGGGATCCTTGTTACTCCTGAGGCTTTGACATGCCCTGATTAATTTGCATTTTAAAGGCAGGCAAGGCCGCACACACCAATAGTCCCAGCTACTGTGGAGGAGGCTGAGGCGGGAGGACCACTTGAGCTGAGGAGTTTGAGGCTGCAGTGAGCTATGATCACGCCACTGTATCCCAGCCTGAGTGACAGAGCAAGACCCCATCTCTTACAAAACAGTTGTGCTTTAAACTTTGCTTTGCGGGGGCCAAGTGTTGCTGTTTTAATTCTCTGGTGTTCCCTGGAAGCTGGAGCCTGTGGAGTGCTCCTTGCCTCAGTTTCCAAGTGACTGTGTGCTCCCTTCCGCTTGCGCCCTGTAGACTGCTTCTGTGTTTCTGTGCCTTTAGTAGGTAGGGTAGACCCATACCTGGACTTCCTGGCTTCATTGCTGACTAGCACTGTACTTGTGGACAAGCCCTTCCTTCACCTTCTCTTAACCTTGACTCTCTTGGCTGTCAGCTCGAGATCGTTAATGATACGCTCACTTTCTTATCCTGAGATTCAGCTATAGAAGTTCGTCGACGTGTGTATAAAGCCAGACCAACAATGTGTTGTGCTTTTATCACCACACGCTCATTTCTCAGATCTTTGCCTGGGAGTCTAATTATTCGTCCTGAGTAGGTGCTCTTTCTCACGGAGCGGGGTGGGTGGAAAAGGGCTATCTGGAGATGCTGAGTCTGTCCTGGCATGGAGTCTGGAGGATGGAGGCCAAGGCGGGAGAGGTGAGGTCTCAGTGTGTTGATTATCCCTAGTTGTAATGAAAGCTACTGTTTGTTGATTTTGCAAGGAGGAAAAAGGCTCCACAAAAGGCAGAAATCTATCTTCAAGGAGCATTGAAAAATTACCTGGCTGAGGGCTGGGCACTCCCCATCACACACACAAGGAAGCAGCTGGCTGAATGTCAAAAGCACCTTGGACAAATTGAAAAGTATCCTTTAATGTTTCCATGAAGCAGGAAAATTATTTTCTATTTATACAGCAACATTGCCCACAATCAAATGTTTCATTCTCATCTATTATTAAGGAGAGAAAAGTCCTACCTTATACATATGTATTGTATAAAGAATTAATGAAATATCTAGTCAATTTTTTATAATCTAATTTTGAGTCCTAGTAACTTAAAAAAAAAAAAAGCGCTTTGGCTTTTGAAGCCTCTGTGAAGGCTGTAGGAGGCTTTGCATCCACTTTGCCCCACACTCCTCAGTATGAGCCTCTCCACGCTCCTTACCTCTCCACTCCAGCTACCTGCAGACCAGCAGCCTTTTAGCCAGTGACCACCACCTCACTGAAGAGGAGCGCAAGCACTTCTGCCAGGAGATACTTGACTTTGCCAGCCAGCCATCAGACAACCCAGGTAAGTTCAGGGTAAGACCAGTTCTAGGAGATACTTGACTTTGCCAGCCCATGCATCAGACAACCCAGGTAAGACCAGTTCCTAGGAAATGCTTGACTTTGCCAGCCAGCCGTCAGACAGCCCAGGTAAGACCAGTTCTTAAACCAGGTAAGACCAGTTCCTAGGAGATACTTGACTTTGCCAGCCAGCCGTCAGACAGCCCAGGTAAGACCAGTTCTTAAAACTTTACTAGGAATATTTTCAAACATTACGAAGTAAAAAGAATACAAGATATACCAGCCACTTGAGAGTAAACAATTGCTAACATTTTGCTGTGTAGCTAACATGTATCTATGTCTTTCACTTGACTTTTTTTCTTTTTGCTTAAAGCCAAACTCTAGACCACATTGGATCTTCTAAATATAAGGACAGTTGATGAATATTTAATAAATACTTAACTGGTCAGTTCTGCAGCCTTGTGGATATTCTTGACAAAACTAGGGTACTTACAGTTTGGTCAGAGTGAGAAGGGCCCAGAGACAGCATTAGGCTCTCACTTCAGCAGCGACTGACCTGGCTGGTAGCTACCGTCCTGAGCCTGGGGCACAAAGGGGTCCTTGTTTAATCGGCTGACTTCGTAGACTGGCAAACACCTGGGGTTTATTTCCACATTACAGCAGGGCACTTGGGCATCTTCACTGAGCATGTTTTTAAGTAGGTGAGAAAATATTGGAATCTCTTGAAAATAGCTCTAGAAATTAGACCATTTACAGATTTTAGTTTGGAATTGAGAGGTAGTTGACCTGTATTTCTCTTAGGTTTGTCAAAGCAGACTTGAGAAGGTTAACTTCTGTACATTTTATGATTTCTAGGCATTACGTAGGTATTTGTTAATATTTTGCTTTTGACACAATAACTTTTGGGGGGTGTGAAGATGGCAAGAGGCTGGGCTTGGCTGTTCTGCACGTCACTGCTGCTAGCTCCAGTACGCTCTCAGTAATCTTACTGTGTCCACGGCCTGCTGCCGCTTACTGCCAGGAAGTGTGACCTGGGGAGTAAGTACGATAATGTCTGTTTACAGGTCATAAGATAGTGCTACCCATGCAGTCCTTTGCACAACTGCGAGATCTCCATTTTGATCCCTCCAATGCCGTGGTCCACGTGGGCGGCGTTCTGTGCATTGAGATAACCATGTACAGCCAGATGCCTGTGCCCGTTCATGTGGAGCAGATTGTGGTCAATGTCCACTTCAGCATTGAGAAAAACAGCTACCGGAAGACTGCGGAGTGGCTTACCAAGCACAAGACGTCCAACGGGATCGTTAACTTTCCACCCGAGACCGCACCTTTCCCTGTATCCCAAAACAGTTTGCCCGCCCTGGAGCTGTATGAGATGTTTGAGAGAAGCCCATCTGATAACTCCTTGAACACAACCGGGATTATCTGCAGAAACGTCCACATGCTCCTGAGAAGGCAGGAGAGCAGCTCCTCTCTAGAGATGCCCTCGGGGGTGGCTCTGGAGGAGGGGGCCCACGTGCTGAGGTGCAGCCCCGTGACCCTGGAACCAGGGGCCAACCAGATAACCTTCAGGACTCAGGTATGCGTTCCGGGTGGGAACTGGACTTTCAAGTTTGTGAAGAAGGGCCATGGAGCTTGCAGGAACTGTCTGGAGTGTGGTGAGAACTCAGTAGAGTCCTTCGTTCTCCTGACCCTGTTTTTGTCTCTATCCTTATACAAAAATACACTGATGTTTTCTTCCGTATCTATACAATTTTCTGACAGTCGATACATTTTGAGTGAAGTTCTTAATATAGATATTTGTTCTTAGATTAAGTTAGCTTTTTAACTCATTGGATTATTGGATTCAGTTAGCTTTTCCCCCTGCGTATGAAAATATACACCCTCATTTGTTAAAATGAGGTTTCAAGGAGGTGGTGCACTTTCCCGCTCAACCTTATTTTCCCTTTGTGGCTGGCTGGGTGTCAAAACTGGTGTTTCTCACCCACTCTAACATGAAGTTTTCTCTGACACAGCATGTCCTATAAGTTGCACTAACCTAACAGGATTTGGCCTGTGGAAAGTATAGCTGTTTGTCACCCTTTTAGTCTAGAGCAGGGCTTAAATCTCTGCTGAATGTCTCTACTAAATACACCCGTCAAAGAAAATGCCACAGGACGGCACGGTGGCTCACGCCTGTAATCCCAGCACTTTGGGAGGCTGAGGCGGGCGGATCACGAGGTCAGGAGATGGAGACCATCCTGGCTAACACGGTGAAACCCCGTCTCTACTAAAAATACAAAAAACTAGCTGGGTGTGGTGGCAGGCGCCTGTAGTCCCAGCTACTCGGGAGGCTGAGGCAGGAGAATGGAGTGCCCCGGGAGGTGGAACTTGCAGTGAGCCGAGATCACGCCACTGCACTCCAGCCTGGGCGACAGAGTGAGACTCCGTCTCACACACACACAAAAAAGAATGCCACAAATACAGTTTATAAAGTTGAAAAATACCTTATTAAAGTTAAATTTAAGCATCAGTTACTCAGAAAATCATGAATTGAGAGATTCTGAGGACCTTCTGAAGAGGCCCTCAGAGGTTTGGGCACAAGAGCAGGGGGTACAAGAGAGAAGGAAGTACAGGCCTTTCTGTAGTTGAGAGAGAACACGGCACAGCACTACTGCAGGGAGCTCCTAACTACAAAACTGGACTGACGTGGTTTCAGATGCCTAATTTTTTGACTCTAGGCCAAGGAACCTGGAACATATACACTCAGGCAGCTGTGCGCCTCGGTGGGCTCCGTGTGGTTCGTCCTCCCTCACATCTACCCCATTGTGCAGTACGACGTGTACTCGCAGGAGCCCCAGCTGCACGTGGAGCCGCTGGCTGGTGAGTGGGGTCCCCAGCCCTTCAGGAGGTGTGCTGCAGGGGCGATTCTGAGGAGACCTGCTGAGATGCCAGGCTTCTCGTAGTTTTTAGCCATGTCTTCCTTTAAGAGGTATTTTGGGTAACATAATGGGAAATTTGCCTGGGAACTAGCTGACTGCCTCTTTTGTTTATCTGAATATTTGCTTTCCTATAATTGCTTTTTCATATTTAATAAACATGGTGTATCTAAAAATAAGAAACATAGAAGAATTAACTCTGAGAGTGGAAAAAAGAAACTCAAGGTGTTTTTTCTATTGGCTCCCTCAACCTAATAATCAGTGCAGAGGACTTCTGGACCTAAATGTGCAGGGATTTCCCCCTGCCAGCAAGCAAGCAGTCAGCCCTGCAGCGGGGTCCTGCAATTCTGTTCTGACCCTGTCTACTGGAGCTGGCGTCAGACGTCACAGGGTGAGGGCTCAGTCCCCAAGACAGTCCCCCACTTCCCATGCCAGCCGCCAGCCCAGGGTTCTTTTACTTGTGCTTCTGACCGACTAGCTAGAAATCAGGGCTCCCACAACCCCCTTTCAGGGGTTGAAGAATTTGTTAGAACGGCTCACAGAACTCAGGGAAACACGTTGACTGGATTATTATAAAGGATATAGATGAAGAAGTGCGGAGGGTGAGGTATGGGGAAAGGGGTGCAGAGCTTCCACGCCCTCCCTGGGTGCCACCCTCCAGGAATCTCCATGTGTTCAGCTGCCCGAAAGCTCTCCAGACCCTGTCCTTTGGTTTTTATGGAAGTGACATTACACAGGCACGATCAATTACACCACTGGCCACTGAAGAGCAAGTCTACCTTCAGCCCCTCTTTCCTCCTTGGAGATTGGGTGGCACTGCTGAAAGGCCCAACCCTCTAATCCTGCCCTGGTCACTCTGGTGACCAGTCCCCATCTTGAAGCTACCTTGGAGCTGCCAGCCTCCAGTCATCTCATTAGCCTACAAAAAGACATCACTTCGGAGATTGTGAGGAATTTGGGAGCTAGTGTGCCTGGAAATGGGCTGAAGACCACATGTGTATTTCACAGGGTCACATTAGCCAAGTAGCAGCTCATGTCTACCACGGTTTCATAAATGTGTATATAATTTCCTGCTTAGAAGTACATCTCAAATGCTAAACACTAGATTTAGTTACGATCTATACTCAGATCCCAGCACTTTGGGAGGCCAAGACTTTGAGACCAGCATGGGCAAGCCAGTCGGGGCAGGATGACAAAACCCCATCTCTACAAAGTTAAAAAATGAAGTAAATTAGCCGGGTGTAGTGATGAGCCATGGCCTCTAGTCCCAGCTGCAGGCTGGAGCCTCAGCTTCCTGACCCAGGAGTTTGAGGCTGCAGGGAGCTGTGATTGCGCCACTGCTCTCCACCCTGGGTAACAGAACAAAACTCCATCTCTTAAAAAAAAAAAATAGTTTTCCTTTGAAAGGGATGATTAAACTTGTCCATCTGGGCCGGGCGCGGTGGCTCAAGCCTGTAATCCCAGCACTTTGGGAGGCCGAGACGGGTGGATCACGAGGTCAGGAGATCGAGACCATCCTGGCTAACACAGTGAAACCCCGTCTCTACTAAAAAATACAAAAAACTAGCCGGGCGAGGTGGCGGGCGCCTGTAGTCCCAGCTACTCGGGAGGCTGAGGCAGGAGAATGGCGGGAACCCGGGAGGCGGAGCTTGCAGTGAGCTGAGATCCGGCCACTGCACTCCAGCCTGGGCGACAGAGCGAGACTCCGTCTCAAAAAAAATAAAAAAATAAAAAAAAAAATTGTCCATCTGGCATGGCATCTGAGAAATTCAAAGCTATTGTCCTTTCTGATAAGCTCTAAAATTGGAAGGAGTTGCTGTAAACAAATGATTGCAGAACATGTGGCAACTGAACAAGAGCGAGTGAATGTCTCCTTTGTTCAGGCTAGGAACAATTTACTTATTTGCCTGTTTCTTCTATTTGGAAGAAAAAATCACAAAGAGCATTTTTCTGTTATTCCCCCATTCTCCCTATTTTTCCGCATTCGTGCCTCTTGCATGGCCACCAGCAAAGGCTGTCAGATGTGGGACACAGCAGTCGGTCTCTCCAGTGATTCTTCGATCGGAACATTGTGTAGAGAAGCTGAACTTGATTCCTGCAGGGGAGCTGAAGCACCAGCCAGCAGGCCCTGCCCTCCCCATGGCCCAGTGTCTGCAGTGCCAGGCTCATGGCCTGGCTCCTGCTTCCCGCCTAGTGTCCGCTGTCTCTGTCCACTCTCCCCCCAGTCCTGGTATCTTGCCTGCCTTCTGCCTTCCCTGCGACAGGATTCTCAGAGGCCTCAGCTCACTCCTGCCCCTCACTGCTGTCTGGGAGTGAGGGGGGCCACCTGACTGCTGACTGTTCTTAACCCAAAAGTCTGTGGACTGAAGCTGAAAAAGCCAGAGAATGTCTTGAATATTTGAACAACACCAACACAGTCAAGTTTTGTTTACAGTCTTTTCTTAAGCTTCATTATCTGATTCTCTCCTACTGCTTATTGGCAGGCAAATTTTGTGACCCTCGGAGACATAGTCATGGTCATAATCCCAAACTTGCTAAACCCAGATCGGGATAAGACTCCTTGACTCACAGAATTCTTTTTTCCCCAGCAAGGTTCTCCTTCAGCCCTGTGGTCCACATCATTGAGATGAAAAGTTAGGGCAGAAGGGAATGGAAATAGAGGGAATTCATGGAGATCCCAAAGGAGCAAATCTTTCATAGTAAATAAAAGAAACAGAGCCCCTTTTCACCCCATTGTAGGCCCTGAGTTGCTGTCTTCTGGTTGGCAGTGGTGCTGAGCCGTGATCTCTTTTCCTTTAGATAGCCTTCTGGCAGGCATTCCTCAGAAAGTCAAGTTCACTGTCACTACCGGCCATTATACCATAAAGAATGGAGACAGCCTGCAGCTGAGCAATGCAGAAGCCATGCTTATTCTGTGCCAGGCGGAGAGCAGGGCCATGGTCTACTCCAACACGAGAGGTGAGGTGCCGTCCACCCAGGCCCGAGGAGGACACCCGCCTTGCCCTGTGCTGTGTGGGTGTGAGGGTGAGCCTGGCCTTGCTGCCGTCCTGCTGAGTGCCCCTCAACAGTGTCTAGAGTCAGTCTTCCATAGGAGCACTACAGCCTGGTGCCTGTGCTGGGGTCCCATTTGAGGTGGTAAACCGACAGTGGTTCACACGCTGAGTGGCCGAGCAGTGCTTGCCTGACGGAGGACAGGAGATGTGGCGTCACGTTGCACGGCGATGCCTGCCAGACCCTGTCCACCCCGGGCTGGCCCTGCTCCCGAGAAGCAAAAGCAGAGCAGCCCTCGTCAGTGCTGCTGAGAGCCCTGAGCACTCCATCCTCCCAGCCCCAGCCATGAAGGAAGGGGAAGGGGAGAACCCTGCTCCCCTGGGGGTGGGGGTGGATCTGCAGATGAGACGGAACAGGAGAAGGTCATGCAGGGACATACGTAGGGCTTGGGTGGGCCCCGTGGGAAATGTCCTTTTCCTGTCTTCAGCTTGTGAGCAATGATGGGTCTGGGCTCCTGCCTGCCGGCTTTCACACTGGGCGGCTCTGTCCTGGGGCTTTGTTCTTGGGTTTGCCTGCCAGGTGCGCAGGAGCGGGAGAGGTTGAGCAGTGGTCTCACTGCTGGGCCATCACCTGCTGTAAGGAAAAGGACAAGTGAAACCGAGAGAACAGCTTTGAAGTGACTTTTTCTGTCTTTCGCAGAACAGTCTTCTGACGCCGCGCTCCGGATTCAGTCCTCCGACAAGGTCACGAGCATCAGTCTGCCTGTTGCGCCTGCGTACCATGTGATCGAATTTGAACTGGAAGTTCTCTCTTTACCTTCAGCCCCAGCACTCGGAGGGGAGAGTGACATGCTGGGGATGGCAGAGTCCCACAGGAAGCATAAGGACAAACAGAAAACTGGCCACTGCATGGTTACCACAGACCACAAAGTGAGTCGGGGCAGTAGAGGGGCTTAGCTTGTGGGGCCTCCCCGCCCGCCCACCTGCTGGGAAAGGCGATGTAGTGATGCCTGCTGGTAGCCTGGCTCCTTCCGATTCCTGACGCCCTGGCCGTGTGGTTAGCAGTTCTGTGAATCACCCTTTCTTAGATAAGGGGTGCATTTTTTGCAAGGACAGAGGCAAGCCAGCTCTACCTTTCCCTCTCAGTTCCAGGGGCCAGGGAGTTTCCTGTAAGAGGTTAGGGCCGGCCTAGGCACGAGGGGCATCAGACTTGGGTCATGTCTGTTTGACCAGTGACGAGGCCAGAGGAGGACTGTGTCGTGTGTGCCTCGGTGTCTGTCCACTGAAACATCCTAAGCTCAGCTGGGGAGGAGCTGTCTCGTTTTAGGCTTTGGTGCTGGTACTCATTGACAGTTACTTGAGAAAGATGTGATTTCGGTCCCAGATCCATAGGAAATCAGCTCATGGAATGTGTCACTACATCATGTTACTCAGGGTGTGCCCAAGTCTCGTAGCCCAGAAATCAGTCCTGAGAGCTCTGAAACAGCCCGAGGGTCGCAGTAGATGCCCAAGAGCAGTGGGGGAAAAAGGGCAAGGAATGCCATCTTTCCAAAGCACGAAGTTACCAGACAAGTCCACACCTGAAGTAGAATGTTGTAATGTTCAGTTTTTGAAGATACCTGAGGAAGTGTCTTTCCCTTAACTCACAGACGTTCACCATTCGCGAAGGTAGCGCTCAGCTCAGCAGGAACGTGCAGCGCTGGTGGCACCTGTGCTGTGTGCCCGAGTATCCCGCTCTTCCCTGGCCAGCAGGAACGTGCAGGCGCTGGTGGCACTCTGTGCTGTGTGGCCCGAGTATCCCGCCTCCCTGGCACTGCCGGCACCTGTACCTGGGTGCCTGAGTATCCCGCCTTCCTGGCGCTGGCGGCACCGTGCCGTGCCTGCTATCCCACTCCTCCTGGCGCTGGCGGCACCTGTACCGGGTGCCCGAGTATCCCGCTCTTCCCTGGCGCTGGCGGCACCTGTGTTGTGTGCCTGAGTATCCCGCTCTTCCTGGAGCACTGGCGCACCTGTACCGGGTGCCTGAGTACTTCCGTTTTCCTCACTGCTCGGCACCTGTACTGGTGCCTGAGTATCCTGCCTTCCTGGCACCATGCACCTGTGCCAGCCCGAGCATCCCGCTCTTCCTGGCGCTGCGGCACCCAGCTGTGCCCGAGCATCCCGCTTCTTCTGGCGCTGATGCACCTGTACCGCAGGCTCCAGCATCCCGCTCTTCCTGGCACTGGCGGCACCTGTACTGGTGCCTGAGATCCCGCTCTTCCTGCGCTGGCGCACCTGTGCTGTGTGCCCGAGTATCCCGCTCTTCCTGCTGGCGGCACCCACTGGTGCCCGAGTATCCCGCCTCCCGGCACTCGCGGCACCTGTACCGGGTGCCTGAGTATCCCGCTCTTCCTGGCTGGCGGCACCTGTGCGTGTGCCCGCGAGTATCCCGCTCTTCCCTGGCGCTGGCGGCACCTGTGCCGTGTGCCGTGTTATCCTGCTTTTCCCTGGCATTGGTGGCACGCACGCTGCGTGCTGGGGTATTCACCTCTTCCCTGTGGGGAATAAGGCTTGAGACTTGCTTCATTCCTGCCCTTAAGGGATGTAATATCTTTGTCCTCCCTGTGCCCCTAAACTGATTTGGTTTTCAGTTACATATTCAGCCTCACATGGATTAAATGCTTAGATAACTCATTAAATATGGAGTACTCACTGACTAATGTCATCTGGAAATATATGACTGAAAGCACTGTGTCAAAACCCTGTGCACATTGAAACATGGCTCTGTGGTCCTGTGTTTATGGGAGCAGCAGGTGGGTCTGCTGCTTAGGGGACGGCTGTGCTCTTCCGCCATTGAGATGATTCTGGTGACGAGTGCACGTCTTGCCAGTTCTGTGTTCGTTTCTCTTGTCTGTATACTTAGTGTCCTATTTCTCGTTGGTTTGTGTATGTGTTAGGTAAGGCTTTGCTTCCTGGATAACGAGTGGTGGAAGCCATAATAAAATGACTAGGGTGTGGGCAGGCACTGCAGGTGTCTCTGGGCAGCAGTGGTGGTGGCTGTGCTGTCCGTCGGGCGAGTGGTCAGAGAGTGTCTTTGTGCTTCCTCCTCAGGTGTCAATTGACTGCCCGTGGTCCATCTACTCCACGGTCATCGCACTGACCTTCAGTGTGCCCTTCAGGACCACGCACGCCCTGCTGTCCTCAGGAACACGGTAACAGAGACGTGGTGTGCAGGCCCTGGCTGGTTTCCCAGGACTCTTCTAAGTGGAGGTTTCTAATGTTCAAAGCTGGCCTTCGTGATGACGAAGGATGTCTTCTTATGTGACCACAAGGCCATTGTTCGTCTCTTAAAATTCACAATTCCCTGGTATCCTGTGACACTCAGTTCATATTCAGATTTTCCCAACTGTCTGAAAATGACCTTTTATGGTTGGTTTGTGTGACTTGGGATCCAAAATCTCCATCAGACCACTAGATCTCTGTTCATCCTTTCTTCCCTCTTTTCAAGCCATCGACTTGTTCACACGCAGGCCAGGTTTCCTCTGGAGGCCCACCTTTCTGGATCTGGCTGGATTTGTTTAACTAATTCCCCTGTCCCTGTATCTCTTGTCAATTGCCTGCAACCTCTAGAACAGGAACTTTTAAGCTCAGCATGAGTGACATTTTGGGCCAGATAACTCTGTTGTAGGGGCTGTCCTGTGTGCTGTAGGGTGTTGAGCAGCACCCCAGGCTCTCCCACGAGATGCCAGTAGCACTCCCCACCCCTAGGTGTGGCAGCCACAGATGTCTGTAGACACTGCCCAGTGTCCTCTGGTTGGGGCGGACTTGCCTCAGTGGAAAACAGCCGCCCTAAAGGCTTGAGTAGACTCCGATTCTGCTTTGAGGCAGGCGGGGCTGTGTGCTTCCTATTGACTGCACTGGGGGGCCCACGGTGTCCAGGTGCCCCACCTTAGTGACGGTGCTAGCGTTGATCACTGTGCTCGGGATGCTGGCCTGGTCTCTCCCTCAACTTTTTATCCATTGATGATGTTTGGATAATTTGGAAACAAAAATGTCAGAACCATGTTTAGAATGGAACATTATATTAGCAGCTTTTCTTCCCCTTCAAATCACAGCAAAGGGAGCTGTAGATATTAATGGTTAAAAACATCAATAATCTCTAAAAGAACCTTATTAAAAAATTATTTTTCATCTGGACATGGTGGCTCATGCCTGTAATCCCAGCACTTTGGGAGGCCGAGGCAGGCGGATCACGAGGTCAGGAGTTCAACACCAGCCTGATCAACACAGCAAAACCCCATCTCTACTAAAAATACAAAAATGAGCTGGGCATGGTGGTACACACCTGTAATCCCAGCTACTCCGGAGACTGAGGCAGGAGAATTGCTTGAACCCGGGAGGTGGAGGTTGCATTGAGCCAAGATCGTGCCATTGCACTCCAGCCTGGGCGACAAGAGCAATACTCTGTCTCAAAAAATAATAACTATTATTATTATTTTTCAAAGCTTTATATGTAATGGAAATGGAGATAAGCCCCGCCTTTCATCTCTCAATGGAGAGTCTTCACCTCTAATGAGGAGGGCCGCTGTTCTCTTCCTGTGGCTCCCCATAGGCCAGTGAGGGTGACCAGCCATGATCACTTTATAATAAGGCTGGTCAGAAACTATATTCTTTCTTCCATTTCCTCACAGAAATCGCCTCTTTAAAAATGTTTATTTATTTTTATTTGTTATTTTTTTGAGACGGAGTCTTGCCCTGTCCCCAGGCTGGAGTGCAGTGGCATGATCTCAGCTCACTGCAACCTCTGCCTCCTGGGTTCAAGCAATTCTCATACCTCAGCCTCCTCAGTAGCTGGGATTACAGAATTACAGGCACGTGCCACCATGTCTGGCTAATTTTTGTATTTTTTTTTCTTTTTTTTTTTTTTTTTTTGAGATGGAGTCTTGCTCTGTCGCCCAGGCTAGAGTGCAGTGGGTGCGATCTCGGCTCACTGCAAGCTCCGCCTCCCGGGTTTCCGCCATTCTCCTGCCTCAGCCTCCCGAGTAGCTGGGACTACAGGCGCCCGCCACCACGCCCGGCTAATTTTTTGTATTTTTAGTAGAGACGGGTTTCACCGTTTAGCCAGGATGGTCTCGATCTCCTGACCTTGTGATCCGCCCGTCTCGGCCTCCCAAAGTGCTGGGATTACAGGCTTGAGCCACCGCGCCCGGCCTAATTTTTGTATTTTTAATAGAGATAGGGTTTCACCATGTTGGCCAGGATGGTCTCGATCTCCTGACCTCATAATCTGCCCACCTTGGCCTCCCAAAGTGCTGGGATTACAGGCGTGGACCACTGTGCCCAGCCAAAAAGGTGTATTTTTTTCTGACACTTTTCGGTGTGAAATCTGAAGGAGAAACATATGCAACAACGTAGCTTACTTTGCTTTGCTGCTTTTTTCATTCCCCAGACAGAGAGGGTCTCCTTAACAAAGCTAAGACATATTTAATAAAGTTCTTATATATCAAAATAATACTTCTTGTTTTTCCGCTTTAGGAAATATGTTCAAGTTTGTGTCCAGAATTTGTCAGAACTTGACTTTCAGCTGTCAGATAGTTATCTTGTAGATACCAGTGATAGTACCGGCCTGCAACTAGTACCGCTGAACACGCAGTCCCAGCAGGTAAACACTGTGTAGACCTGAGCATAACTTCTCAACAGAGAACCGGAGCATACGGAAATGATGTAGTGTGTGCTGCCATCGAGCCTTTAGATAGAACAGCTGCACTGCTGCTGAGTAGAGGCTCCTGGGCAGCTCCTCCGACTGCCCTGAGGCTGGACTGGGGCTTGCTGCTGAGTAAGTGGGTGGCTGGATGGATGAATTCTTCTTTTTAGAAGAATTAAATCTGAAACTGGTCCCACTGTATGCATAGATGTGTGCAGGTACCAGCTTCTGTTTGAACGCACTGTTGATTGCATGGGCACTGCTCCACTCTGCCCAGAGCGTGATGCTTGCCAGTGCCAGAGCGATGGTGCCCGACATGTTGGTGCCTTTGTAAAAGAGCCATGCTCGTGCCTGCATCTGGACCTTGCTTTTTCTGTTTATGCCTCGCTGCCTGGCTGAATCTTGACCTTGCTTTTTCTGTTGATTTTTCACGTATGTTTTTAGGCAGTAAATGCTGAGTGTTTAGAGCTCGAAGGCTTTCTTAATGTATGTCTGAATCTTCAGCATTTTCAAAGGATTCTCCCCCACTAATCCGTTAGCTCTTTCAGATAGTCCTGGAGCTTGTCACTGTGCTTTTAGGTGTGGACTCTACATGTAATAGCGGTGTTCAACCCATACATCAGGTTGTGCTGGTTCCTAAAATAATTTAAATATAAAATAATTGGCTGGATGTAAAGACTTACTTTTTATTTTGTTTTTTAAATTTTTATTTATCTTTTTTTGAGATGGAGTTTCACTCTTGTCACCCAGCCTGGAATGCAATCGCGTGATCTTGCCTCACTGCAACCTCTGCCTCCTGGGTTCAAGCAATTCTCCTGTCTCAGCCTCCTGAGTAGCTGTGATTACAGGCGCCCGCCAACACACCCAGCTAATTTTTGTATTTTTAATAGAGATGTGGTTTCACCATGTTGGTCAGGCTGGTCTTGAACTGCTGACCTCAGGTGAACCACCCACCTTAGCCTCCTAAAGTGTTGGGATTACAGCCATGAGCCACCACCTCTAGCCAAGATGTACTTTTTAATTAATTGATGATATATTCCCCTGTTTTGGAGCTGCATGGGATATGCCATATATTAATTAATATCCATTAATATCCTTTGGGCATGGTGGCTCACACCTGTGATTCTAACACTTTGGAAGGCCCAGGTGGGTGGATCACTTGAGCTCAGGAGTTTGAGATCAGGCTGAGCAACATAGCAAACCCCATCTCTACAAATACAAAAATTAGTCAGGCATGGTGGCACACACTTGTATTCCCAGCTACCCAGGAAGCTGAGGTGAGAAGATCTCTTGAACCTGGGAGGTTGGGCTGCAGTAAGCTGTGATCACGCCATGGCACTCCAGCCTGGGTGACAGAGTGAGACCCTGTCTCTAAAAAAAGGGGGAAAAAATTGATGGGGCGCGGTGGCTCACACCTGTAATCCAAGCACTTTGGGAGGCCGAGGCAGGTGGATTGCCTGAGCTCAGGAATTCAAGACCTTCTTGGGAAACACGGGGAAACCCCGTCTCTACTAAAATAAAAAAAAAAGTTAGCTGGGCATGGTGGCATGCTTCTGTAATCCCAGCTACTTGGGAGGCCGACACAGGAGAATCACTTGAACCCAGGAGGCAGAGGTTGCAGTGAGCCGAGATCATGTCACTGCAGTCCAGCCTGGGCAACAGAGGGAGACTCCATTTCAAAAAGAAAAAAAAAAAAAAAAATTAAGCTACTTTTTAATGATCTCATATGATATAAAACTTATGGAATCATAAAAAATTAAAGATTTACCAATTTTGTACAATCTTCTGCTGGGACAAGGCCAGGCAAAGGGAGTCAGGGCAGGGACAGGTGCTGTGGGGCCTAAAGCAGCGTGCACAGGAGTGCTGTGAGGCAGAGGCCTGCCCATGGTGTCTGCTCAGCACCCTTCGCATGGCGTGTGTTTCGCTGCAGTGTCTGTGTTGTCTTTGCGGTTTGGTGCTGTGAGAACAGTGACCCCCGACTCTCTTTCCAGCCTATCTACAGCAAGCAGTCGGTGTTCTTCGTCTGGGAACTCAAGTGGACAGAAGAGCCTCCCCCTTCTCTGCATTGCCGGTTCTCTGTTGGATTTTCCCCAGCTTCTGAGGAACAGCTGTCTATCTCCTTAAAGCCGTATACTTATGAATTTAAAGTGGAAAATTTTTTTGTAAGTGATGTATTATTTTGGGAGGGTGGGGTGGAAAAATGAAAGGTGGCATTATGTTCTTTATAATCTGAAGAACTGAATAGACAGCTTCTGCCAACATAATGAAGGAGCAGCTGGAGAAAAACAGTTGCTGGGGTAGTTGAATCATCGACTGTCTTTATTTTAGAACCCCAGGTCCTTCTCAAGTGACACATCTGAGATGCCCACACTCCTGGGGGCATCTCTGAGAGGAGTGTTTGTCATTTGGAAGCCCCAGAGACTCCTTTTTTCTTCTTTTTCCCTTTCTCATGTTGACTTAGTAACTCCCTGGAAATATTTCTTGGAGTCATTTCATCTTCAGGGGCATTGCTTTCTAAGGCATATCTCTAGTTTTTCAAAGAAAAGCTGAAAACTTGCTAGCTGAATATTGTGAAGATTTTCTTAGAACTTGTGCATCATGTTTTAGAAGCCAATTTGAGTGTGGAATGAGGAGTAGCCTTGAGCTAGGTGAGTAGATAGAGGTGTGTGCTGTGTTCCTTTAGGGAGATTATTCGACTTCATGTTTTACAGTTTTGTGATACTTCCTTCTATCTTCTTCCAAACAAGACAAATTGTTTTGACCTTCATGTTTTATATAATGCCTTATTTAATACATTTAAATGAATAAATAAAATCACAAATTATTAAATAATAGTATATATTATAATAATTTATATATAAATTATTTATTTATGAGACAGGGTCTCACTCTGTCCCCCAGGCTGCAGTGCAGTGGCACAATCATAGCTCACTGCAGCCTGGACCTTCTGGGCTCATGATCTTCCCACCTCAGCCTGCCGAGCAGCTGGGACCACAGGCATGTGTCACCACACCTGGCTCATGATTTTTATTTTTATTTATTTATTTTTCTGAGACAGAGTTTTGCTCTTGTTGCCAGGCTTGAGTGCAATGGCATGATCTCAGCTCACCGCAACCTCTGCCTCCCAGGTGCAAGCAATTCTCCTGCCTCAGCCTCCCGAGTAGCTGGATTACAGGCATGCACCACCACACCCAGCTAATTTTTTGCGTTTTTAGTAGAGACGGGCTTTCTCCATGTTGGTCAGGCTGGTCTCAAACTCCCACCCTGAGGTGATCCACCTGCCTTGGCCTCCCAAAGTGCTGGGATTACAGATGTGAGCCACTGCGCCCGGCCAAAGTACAGGTTTTTTTGGTTTTTGTTTTTGTTTTTTTGAGACAGAGTCTTGCTCTGTCTCCCAGGCTGGAGTGCAGTGGCGTAATCTTGGCTCACTGCACCCTCCGCGCCTCTAGGTTTAAGCAGTTCTCTGCCTCAGCCTCTGGAGTAGCTGGGATTACAGGCGCGTGCCACCATGCCTGGCTAATTTTTTGTATTTTTAGTAGAGACGAGGTTTCACCATCTTGGCCAGGCTGTTCTCGAACTCCTGACCTCGTGATCCACCCACCTCGGCCTCCCAAAGTGCTGGGATTACAGGCGTGAGCCACCATGCTCGGCCCAAAGTATGGGTTTTTATGGGACCATATCTGTTCAATTCTCCTGGTAAAGACCTGAGTGGAATTTCTGGGTCATATGGGTAACTCTATGGTTAGCTTTTTGAGTAACTGCCAAACTTTTTCCAGAGGGCTCTACATTCCCACCAGCAACATAGTGGATTCCAGCTGGGACCCAGAGAGTCCCAGCTTCTGTGTGTCCTGCCAGCACTTGTCTCACTGTGTTTTTGGTTGTGGCCGTTCCAGTTGGCGGGCGTTTTCCCAGTGGCTAGTGATGTTGTGCTGCTTCTCGTGGGCATGTGGTCCATTTTTCTGCCTCCTTTGGAAGGATGTCTGTTCAACTCCTTTCCCCATGTTTAAATAGGGTTATTTGTTTTTTATTATTGAATTGTAAGTTCTTTATATATCCTAGGTACCAGGTCCTTATGTATGATTTGCAAATATTTTCTTCCATTTGTTGTCCTTTGAAGCACAAAAGTTTTAAATTTTGATGAAATCCAATTCAACTCTCTCTTTTATTGCTTGAATTTTTTGCTTTGGACCTAGAAAATCATTGCCTTTGGTCAAAAAGATTTTCTCCTGCATTTTCTTCCAAGATGTTCGTAATTTCAGCACTTACATTTAGGTCTGTGATCTACTTTGACTTAATTTTTGTGTATGGTAAGAGGTAGGGTCCAAATTTGCTCTTTTCAAGTGACCCATCAGGTGTCCCTATCCCATCTGTCATAACGATGCTTTCCTCCCTGTGGGGTGACCCTGGCCTCGCTGCCAGAGACCAGCTGGCCGCAAGTGCTCGCGTGTCGCTCTGAAGAGGCTCCGCGGTTCTGGTCACTGTGCCTGAGCGCCAGGTGCTGCCAGGTGAGGCCCCTGCTACTCACCCTGGGCTGTGCTTTCCCCCAGCCACTCTCCTTCCCAGATGCAGCTGAGAGCAGTGTTCAGGCACACGCAGGTCTCAGCACACCCCACTTTGTCCTCCTGCAACTCTGGGTGTCCTTCAAGCGCTTAGGCAAGTCTGTATTCTTTGCTGGATTCAGAAACATTCACACTGTGCTCCAGCCAGAAGCTTCTCAGAAGGAGGAGGTATTTCAGGGGCCTCTAGCATAGCATTCCACTACTTCAGTTCCCAGGACCTACGGGTATCCGGGCCCACGGCTGGCATTTTTGCATCTGTGTATTTGGGATCTTTTCTGCCCTGTGGCTGGAGAACATCAGCAAGTCCCAGCATGGCCCCTGTTGAGACTGGTGGGAGTTTGTCCCATGTCCCAACAGAGGTAACTGGGGATTTGGCAGGAGATCACCTAGAAAGGCCACTCTCGGGACTGCTGTTTAGGCTGTGAACTCCCAGCAGACGACTTCATCTTGGCCTCAGACTCCAGACAGACACTTCTTAATATACTGAAATATCTTCTTTGAACGTTTTACAATGCCAATAGAACACTTTTAAGTCAAGTTATACTGTATTACACACATGCGCGCGCGCACACACCCGCTTCCCTTCAGAAGTGGAGCTGCGCGAGCCCTTTTTCATCTTTGCGGTGGCGGATGAGTTGTGATTGTTCGCCATGGGTGGTGGTAGAATGTTAAGCATGTTTGAATAACCACTGAGAATAGGTTGATTATGGAAAGAAAACATGGACAAAGCAGATTATGGACTGAATTGGGTTATACCAAGGAATTCCCGTTGCTTTTGCTAGTTGTAATAATAGCTTTGTGTGTTGGTAAGAAAAAGGCCTTAGTGTTTAGTAATGCATACTGAAGTAGATGGGGCAAAATAACAGGTTGTCTGAAATTTGCTTTTTTTTTAATCTTATTATTATTATTTTTTGAGACAGTCTTGCTCTGTCACCCAGGTTGCGGTGCAGTGGCGTGATCTCAGCTCACTGCAACCTTTGCCTCCTGGGTTCAAGGGAGTCTCCTGCTAAGTAATCCAAGTAGCTGGGATTACAGGCACCTACCACTGTACCCGGCTAATTTTTGTATTTTTAGTAGAGATGGGATTTCACCACGTTGGGCAGGCTGGTCTCAAACTCCTGGCCTCAAATAATCTGCCCACCTCGGCCTCCCAAAGTGCTGGTATTACAGGCGTCAGCCACCGTGCCTGGCCTGAAATTTGCTTTAAATTACCTCAGGCAAATACAGAAATGTACATGGCTCGATCGGTGATGCTGAGGCATCAACATGCTGAGATCTTGGGATCCAGGTGATAGGCAGCGGGAGGGTCGCTATGCTAGCCTTTCTTCCTGCAGTTGGAAATATTCATAATTTGAAGAAGGATGTTAAGGTTTGGGGTGTAGGACTTCTGAAAACATTGCATCTCTCGTGGGAATTATTGAGAGTGAGTGGCCACAGTTGCTCTAAGGCCAGCCGAGCAGATAAGTGTCTTTCCTCAGCTCTCCAGGGTCTGCGGGCAGCTCTTCTTTTGCCTCTAGTTGCATTTCTTGAGAACAGTTAGGTACATTTCCTTTCTTTTCTCTCCCTTTCCTGCCCAGACATTATACAACGTGAAGGCTGAGATCTTTCCCCCTTCGGGAATGGAGTACTGCAGAACAGGCTCCCTCTGCTCCCTGGAGGTATTGATCACGAGGCTCTCAGACCTCTTGGAGGTGGATAAGGATGAAGCACTGACCGAATCTGATGAGCATTTTTCGACAAAGCTTATGTATGAAGGTAGGTGGTCTCAAACCCATGGGCTGAAGCAGTCCTCCCGCCTTGGCCTCCCAGAGTATTGGGATTACAGGTGTGAGGCACTGCACCCGGCCTGTCTTGCATGTTGAGTGGTTCTTTTACCCAGGCATCATAGCATGACACCCTGTGCCATTAGTCACGTGAGAAGCATAGCTTCCTGAGTTGTGCAGATCTTCCAAATGGGAGCACCTTTCGTTTGACAATATTTTTTAAAAATCTGCATTTGTGATCTCTCAGGGAGAGCTTGGAGCATCAGGACTCTTTTAAGCTCACAGTGGCAAGTGTAAGTTTTCCAAAATTCTGATTTTTGCTCAGAGTCTCAGATGGCATCATTGGCAGCAAATACTCATGTTGTTTTCTTCGAAGTGACAGGCTTACATCATTCATTTTTAATCAAATGTCTGCCAAATACCCAACACTGAATAACTAGCTTCCCCAGCACTCTTGCAAGTGGAAAGGGTGTTCTGTGAAAACAGCGGCTATTTCGGCTCACAGCACCGAGCGCTCCCCACGTGCTTTCCCTGAGCCAGCTGTCATTCTGCGGCAGAGACCTGGAGAATGTCAAGAACACAAGCACTCAAGAATGGAAATAATTCAAACGTCCTTCAGCTTGAGAGCTGTTAAACAAACTGGCACATCTGATTCCTCCTCAGCAATGAAACAGAAGGGACTGTTGACTCACACAGTGCTGTGGTTGGATCTCAAGGGCATTGTACTAAGAAAAAGCCAATCCTATAAGGAGGTGTACTGTGTGATTCCATTTCTAAATGACACCCTCAAAATGCCAGCCGCAGAAGGAGGGCGGGTCAGTGTTGCACAGAGCAGCAGGAGGCCGTTCTCTGTGGTAATGGAGAGTACTGGGCCAGGGCCGCTGTGGTGGTTACAAGAATCTACACATGTGACAAATGCCATAGAATTAGACCCAAAGAATGCCTGCGAAAGGTGCTGAAATCCAGTGGGGTTTGCAGCCTGATTCATTCTGTAGTGAAATCTAGTGAGGTCTACATTCTGGTTCACTCCATATTGAAATCCAGTGGGGTCTGCAGCCTGGTTCACTCTAGTGAAATCCAGTGGGGTCTGCAGCCTGGTTCACTCTAGTGAAATCCAGTGGGGTCTGCAGCCTGGTTCGCTCGGTAGTGAAATCCGGTGAGGTCTGCAGCCTGGTTCACTCTGTAGTGAAATCCAGTGGGGTCTGCAGCCTGGGTCACTCTAGTGAAATCCGGTGAGGTCTGCAGCCTGGTTCACTCAGTAGTGAAATCCAGTGGGGTCTGCAGCCTGGTTCATTCGGTAGTGAAATCCAGTGGGGTCTGCAGCCTGGTTCATTCGGTAGTGAAATCCAGTGGGGTCTGCAGCCTGGTTCATTCTGTAGTGAAATCCAATGGGGTTTACAGCCCGGTTCACTCTGTAGTGAAATCCAGTGGGGTCTGCAGCCTGGGTCACTGTATGGTACCAATGTCAGCTTCCTGTGTTACATGAGATGGCACAGTTGGGTGAAGCTGGTGATGAAGGTAGGTGACCCCTCTACTATTTTTACAACTTCTTGTGAGTCTATAAACATTTCACAATTAAAAAACCAAAAAAGTGTACTCAGGAGCTGAATTTAATAAAATGAACACTTTTGACTACTTTGTGAAGCGTGGCATTTTGTTTTGGTTTTCTGCTGTGAGTTCATGGCAGTGATCTGGCTCCTGAGTTCACGCCATTGTGGTTGCCCCAGCAGCACCGAGGTCAGCAGTGTGGAAAGGCCGCAGTGTGAAAGCTACGAGCTTGCAGGTGCCCTGAGAGCCACACTCTGAGAACCGTCACTCCATTGCCTTCCTCCGGACCCTCCTAGGGCCTCTATGTGTCCTGTAGTAGCCCCTGTCCTCAAAGGTCCGCCATTCCCACCTACAGGATGTCCATCTCCCTGAGCCCTTCTCTGCTGCTCATGGCCTTCTGGTCACTCACTCCCCCTGGGCGGTTGCTTGGTGTCCTCATGATGGGAAGCTGTGACCTCTTTGCCAGGCCAACTACTACTGGATGGCAAGGATCCTGTCTTGCTTACTTTCATATCTCCAGGGCTGGTCCCAGTGAATGATCACTTAGGTGTTTGAATTGCATTGAATTACATGAAGGTTGTTTTAATAATGAATGTTAATAATAACACCTGCCATATATTAAGACACTACCATGTCCGAGGAGTGGGACTAAATGCTTTACATACAAGGGTTCTTCAAACAAATCACAGAAGATACATTATGAAAAAACTATGCATGGATTTCAACACTTTTTGCACCAAAATAAGCTCCTCCTCACTGAGCAGGATCTAGTTTGAGGCACTAAGAAGGATGAGACATCAGTTTAAAAGAGCCCCTATCAGAGCAACATGAATTCTGCTAAAATTAAATCAGGAACCAACACTGGCCGGGCGCAGTGGCTCACGCCTGTAATCCCAGCACTTTGGGCATCCGAGGCGGGCGGATCACCTGAGGTCAGGAGTTTGAGACCAGCCTGGCCAATATGGTGAAACTCCGTCTCTACTAAAAATACAAAAAACTAGCTGGGTGTGGTGGCGTGCACCTATAATCCCAGCTACTTGGGAGGCTGAGGCAGGAGAATCGCCTGAACCCAGGAGGCGGAGGTTGCAGCCAACCGAGATTGCGCCATTGCATTCCAGCCTGGGCAACAAGAGAAAAACTCTGCCTCAAAAAAAAAAAAAAAAAAAAAAAAAACCCATCAAATTTATGGTGAAGCTTGGGTGGAAGAATGGTGAAATCATTGATGCTTTATGAAAAGTATGAAATTCTTTGGACAATGCCCCAAAGAGTTAAGTAGTTTGCAAATGGATATCTTGTTTTAAGAAGGGACGAGATGATGCTGAAGATTAAGGCCACAGCAAGCAGACCATCCACATCCATTGTCAAGGAAAAAATTCACCTTGTTCATGCTCTAATTGGAGAGAACTGACAATTAACAGTAGAAGTGAGAGCCAACACTGCAGACATCTCAACTGGTTCAGCTTATGCAATTAGGACAGAAAGGTGAGCAAACGTTCCACTCGGTGCCAAAACCCTAACACCCAGGTCCGCGGCCGACCAGAGCAGAGCTTCCCATGGAAACTTCAAACACATGGGATCAAGATCCTGAAGCATTTACTCAAAGAACCTTAACAGGAGATGCAGTGTGGTCTTCCCAGTACCATTCTGAAGACAAAGCAGACACGGCAATGGCTACCAAGAGGTGGGGTGGCCCAGCCAGAGCAGAAGCAGACCGGTCAAGAGCAGAGGCCACAGCAATAGGTTTTTGGGATACCCAAGGCATTGTGCTTCTGGAGAGTCAAAGGACAACAGCATCTGTGTATTATGAGAGTGTTTTGAGGAAGATAGCAAGAGCTTTGGTAGAAAAACCCCTGGGGAAGCTTCACCAGAGAGTCCTCCTCCACCACGACAAAGCTCCTGCTCATTCCTCTAACGAGCCCAACTTTGCCAGGGTTTCTATTGGAAATCATGAGGCATCCACCTTATGGACCTGATTTGGCTCCTTCTGACTTATTTTTGTTTCCTGATCCTAAAAAGTCTTTAAAAGGCACCCATTTTTATTCGGCTAATAATGTGGAAAAAGACTGCCTTGACATGGCTAAATTCTCAGGCCTCCCAGTTCTTCAGGGATGGACTAAATGGCATTGTAAGCAATGGCATCATTGCTTACAAACATGTCTTGACTTTAGTGGGGCTTATGTTGAGACATAAAGCTTCTATTTTCTATTTGCATCTTTGGATTCCTTTTTTTTTTTTTTTTTTGAGACGGAGTCTTGCTCAGTCGCCCAGGCTGGAGTGCAGTGGCGCAATCTTGGCTCACTGTAAGCTCCGCCTCCCGGGTTCACGCCATTCTCTTGCCTCAGCCTCCCGTGTAGCTGGGACCACAGGCACCCGCCACCGCACCCGGCTAATTTTTTGTATTTTTATTAGAGACGGGATTTCACCATGTTAGCCAGGATGGTCTCGATCTCCTGACCTTGTGATCCTCCCGTCTCGGCCTCCCAAAGTGCTGGGATTACAGGCGTGAGCCACTAGCCCGGCCTGGATTCCCTTTTTGCGTGAACTTTTTGTAGTTCCCTCATACATATTCTCTTTCCATCCTTAAAAAGCAGCTCTGTGAGGCTGGTGGTGGTCTCACCAGTATACAGAGGTCATTGAGCCTGGAGGCCTTGGGTTGCTCTTCTGAGTGGCAGAGTTGGCTTCAGACCCAGTGGTCTTGGAGACTGTCACTTACCAGACAGAACTCATTTAACTGCCAAAGTAACCATACCTTGGAAGATGACACAAAAATTTGAAATCAAAATTAATTCATTTATTAACCTCACAGGAAAAATGCCGTTTTCTGTACACGTCCAGCATAATTCATTCTAATCCAGAACGAATTGAAGTTGGACTCAGTGAAATAGGTGTTGTCACCGTGAAAGTGCATGGCTGTATCTTCAGGTGCAGCTACAAGGCACTGGGCTCTGTGTCTGCGGTGTTTTGTCAGACACCATTGGGTGAGAAGATTGGGTAACGATGGCTATGACTCTCGCCTGACTACTTGAAGGCCCATCCTGGGTGACACAGCGCTTCCTCTCGTTTCAGTTGTCGACAACAGTAGCAATTGGGCAGTGTGTGGGAAAAGCTGCGGTGTCATCTCCATGCCAGTGGCTGCTCGGGCCACTCACAGGGTCCACATGGAAGTGATGCCACTCTTCGCGGGGTATCTCCCTCTGCCTGACGTCAGGCTGTTCAAGTACCTCCCCCATCATTCTGCGCACTCCTCCCAACTGGACGCTGGTAAGGACTTTTTAAGAAAAAGTTTACCTTCAGTATTCGAGCAGGTGATTACCTTGTGTGAGAGCTGATAAGCTTGTGAGGGAGCGGGTCTGAGAACCAGCGGCATGTTTTCAGTGCCAAAGCTTGTGAGGGAGCAGGTTTGAGAACTAGCGGCATGTTTTCAGTGCCAAAGCTTGTGAGGGAGTGGGTTTGAGAACCAGCGGCATGTTTTCAGTGCCAGTAGAAACTGGTACCAGAAGACTTGTCTGCCGTTAGAATCTCAGGCACCGGCTCTGAAACCAAGCCTCTGTGCGCAGAGTGCTCTATAAAGGGGCAGCGTCGGGCGGCATTCTGCACGTTCAGCCTGGCTCCATGTGGCTTTGCCAGTCCCCAGGTGAGTGTGGACACAGCTTGGGTCTAACTTCCTGTGTGTTTTGCAGACAGCTGGATAGAAAACGACAGCCTGTCAGTAGACAAGCATGGGGACGACCAGCCAGACAGCAGCAGCCTCAAGAGCAGGGGCAGCGTGCACTCGGCCTGCAGCAGCGAGCACAAAGGCCTGCCCATGCCCCGGCTGCAGGCACTGCCAGCCGGCCAGGTCTTCAACTCCAGCTCAGGCACGCAAGTCCTGGTCATCCCCAGCCAAGATGACCACGTCCTGGAAGTCAGTGTAACATGACAGCGCTGGGGTGAACACATGCCACGGCCCAGCTAGGAGTGCACTTTATGGGACTGTGACTGGACTCTTCTCCATTCTGGCTCCAGCCAGACCTTCAGTGGTCCTGCCTGGCTGTGGGGACATCAGAGAGCGTCATCATGCAGCTGGCCAGCCGAGTTCTGTTGTTGTTTTCATGCCGCCTGTGATCTCAGATTCCTGCTTTTTTCACCCCGTCCCCATGCTGGTGTCCCACGCCACTTACTCAGAGCTCCAGCCTCCCTCCCCTACCTCACACGCTGCTCATGAAAGTCTCCAGCCATGCTGTCTGCACGAAGCCGCCTCTGTCTGCTGGCTCTTCGTGGAAGGCCATTTGTCTTTCAGGTAGACACTCAGCAGGCCTTGCATTCTTAGTGACATGTGTGTGCCTTTCTGGTCACACAGCTGCCCAGGTTCCTGATCGGGTGGATTTGTGTCCCCTAAGGGGTAAAACAGCCGTTCACCGCAGATCCTCTCGTTGTGCTTTTCTAGAGTAACACCCTTCTAGGGGAGGTGGGTGGGGGGAGGGAGGGATCATAACCCCTTCTGTGCCTTGGGATGCCGGAGCTGGGGGACCTGGAGGCCCATCAGCCGGAGCCACATGAAAGGTACTGAAGAAAGCTGAGACCCGGCTGTGAGGAACTCCTCGGCGGTGAGGTGGTTTAGGGATAAATGTTTCTGGAACCCTGTGGTCCCCCATAATGTTGATAGAATATCATATGCACTGGGAGTTAAATATGTATTTAATTTAATGATCATTATATGTGTGGGGGTTAATACGTTTTTCTGTCCCTTTAAAGTCTTTACATGTAATTGTAGCTGTATAATCATTTTTCTTTTGCACCTTAAGTCTTAGAAATTAAGATGTTCCATCATGAGGATGAGAGAGGTCCTCAGTGTGTTTTCAGTCTGGTTGTAGGGAAGGACTCAAGTCCTGGAATGTCCTCCGCTGGTCTACTGAGTTGCAGTCACACTGTTCCAATGGATTATTTGCTTTCGGTTGTAAATTTAATTGTACATATGGTTGATTTATTATTTTTAAAAAATACAGACTAACTGATGTAATGTTTATGTGTAAGTTGCACCAAAAATCAAGGACAAAAATAAGTGTGTTTGTTTTTACAGGTGTGAAAGTCACAGCTTGTAAATAAGTGTTGTATGTATTAAACCTTTTCCAGCTCTCCAAAGCGATGTATTTTTGTACATATGAAATAGTACTCTTAATTTCCTGGGCAAGCGTGCTTGGAATTGAACTTGACAAGATTAGCGCGAGCAGATAGAATTGGGTCCAGCAGCGGGTGGCCCTTGTGTGAATCCCCGTGGATGTGCAAGTCGTGGAGAGAAGGAGCACCGGGTTCCCGCCCAGCACGGTGCTTGCGGGAGGCAGTGGGGCGTGGGAGGAAGGAGGCACAGACTGGGGAAACACGACAGCTGTCATTTCCAGTATTCTCTGTGTTGTCTTTTAGCTCATTGAATAAATAAAGGTGACGTGATTTCTTTTCCCTTCTACGTCTTTTTCATTTGTAGAAATTGGAGACGTGTAAACAAGATAAATAATTGTGTATTTAAACTTCCCAGAAATTTATCTTCTTCATGTGCAGTTTAACAAACTTGGTCAAACTAGTTAGCAAATTAGAACTTCAGAATCTAATGATAGTTTAGGGTTTCTAAAATAAGGATTTTTTATCATAAAAATTGACGATTGCCCTGCATTTCTACCAAGTCCTGTGAATAAAGAGATGGGAGATTTGATTCTGTCAGAAGAGCCTGTAATCCGTGTTGTCAGCCTGGGAGCCTTCCCTAGTCTATAATGTAGCTTTCCCTCTTACCCTTTCTCTCTCACCTTCTGGAAGAGGGAATGTGATTAAATGTTTTATTTATTACTTTCTGATTTTCTTGTATCTAGTTCTACTCCCAGGATGAAATTATCCAACTTCGTATATATTTAGAGGAAGAAAGTGAAGGGGAAATTTAAAATGTTTACAGCGCTTTCTTATTGCCTGAAGATGGAATGAAATCAAATTTATCAGTTTTTCCCCCTAATTACCCAAAAGATCTTTTGCAAACTATGTTACATGAATGCTTCTGCCTCTTTAAGACAAAGAAGAATGTTACCCAAAATTGTCATTTTTTTCTTAATGTTTATCATAAAAGTCCTAAAAGAGTAACTGTAATTGGATTTTTATTGTTTTATGTAAAGTAAGGTCTATGTATTTGAGACAAGCTGGTTTTGTTGATAAAGACATAAGAGATGTTAAATAATTGTGAAGCCAGATATACAATGTGTATCTAAAAAGCAAGGAATTTGCAGCTGTTTTACAAATATCTGTGGAACATGTAAATACTGTCAAATGGAAAATAAAATAAGTTATAATTTTTGTGAATTTCATGGGATGTCCTATGATTGGAAAAATTATAACTCTTCTGATTCTAATGTGGAAATTGTTGTATTTAATCAGAAAATGATTTTACCTACAACAGTTCCATTGTCAGCACAGCCCAGGAGGGTCAGATTCCTGTATTAATTACTCTTAGTGGAGACGCTAGATATCCCATACAGAATTAGCAGAAAAAATACAGGCTTCTATTCAAATTATCTTTAGTGCTTAAAATTAAGTTTTAAAATGAAGTCAGACACTCCAGGTTTGTATATAAAATGAAAAGCTATCCTACTTTTTATAAAAGGGCAAACTGGGCTGATCTAAATGTTTTACTCTCAACTGTGTTCTTTAAATCCTACCTGGTTTTTAAATTTTATTTTTCATGAAAATACTCCTTTCTCTACATTTATTCATACTTTATACATCAGGCTGTAAGACCCCCAAGCATTAATACAATGTGTTGGGATTTTGTGACTGGAAAAGGTGACAAGTTGGTGACTTTGACACTGCAGGTATTAATTCCATTTTCATGGTTTACTATGAAAAGTCATTTTTCATATTATGTAATATATTGTTAGATTAAAACCATTGTATTAAGACTGTTTAAAATGTAAGCATTGTAATTCTGAAAATACACATTTTAAGAAGAAACTGCTGTTTTGCACTGGATCTTTTGCTGCGACACGGTGTGACAACAGTACGTAATGTGAAGATTTTCTTGTTTTACCTCTCTAGTTCTTGTTCCTGACTCTTGGCATAGATTATTTGCTTTTTGGGAAGCATTCGGATTTTTTTTTTTTTTCTTTCTGAGACAGTCTTGCTGTGTTGCCCAGGCTGGAGTGCGATGGCGTGATCTCTGCTCACTGCAAACTCCGCCTCCCAGGTTCAAGCCATTCTCCTGCCTCAGCCTCCCGAGTAGCTGGGACTACAGGCGTGCATGCGCCTCATTTTTGTATTTTAGTAGAGACTGTGTTTCACCATGTTGGCCAGGCTACTCTCGAACTGCCGACCTTAGGTCATCCACCCTCCTCAGTCTCTCAGGCGTGAGCCACCGCACCGGCCAGCATTCGGGACTTTATTCATAATTCCTTACCCAGTAGCTCACAAGAATGAAGACATTTGGGTGTGCAGGGCTCTGGGATGTTGTGGACGCTGCTGTGCCAGGCTGGGCCTCCGTGCGGAGAGCGCCCTGCAGCGTGGCTCCGGGGTGTGGGCGGGGCCCGGAGAAGGCCCCGCCTCGGGAGGGGTTGGGCCACTTGCGTTCAAACTCCGCCTCGGAGCCGGGCGAGGGCGAGGCGGCTCCTCCGGCCTCCTGGGGCGCTGCGGCCGGTGGTGCGCGGCCCCGCCCCGGAAGCGCGCGCTGTGGGCGGTGCGCGCCGTCTCCTCCCGGAAGTGCGTGCTGTGGGCGGTGCCGCGCGGACCCTGGGAAGGGTCTCTGTGGGCGGCAGTCGGCTTGAGCTGCGGCGCACGTGCGGCGGCAGTGATGAAGTTCGCCTACCGGGTGAGCGCGGGCGGCGGGCGGTCTGTTCGATCTGCGCGGCTGTTCCAGTGGACGGCGCCTAAGCTGGCGCCGGGCGGGCTGGGGCGCGTGGTCTGCTTTCGCGGCGTCTGGCCGCGTGGGGGTAGCCGGCAGTCTGCGTGCCCATGGCCTCGGGGACGCCGGGCTGTGGGTGGGGCTCCTGGGAGAGCTGGGACGGAGGCGCCGACGGCTCCTCGGAGGGAACAGGGACTTTTGTCGGGGGCCCGGGAAAATTTTTTTTTTTTTTTTTTTTTTTTTTGAGACGGAGTCTCACCCTGTTGCCCAGGCAGGAGTGCAGTGGTGCGATCTGGGCTCACTGCAAGCTCCGCCTCCTGGGTTCATGCGATTCTCCTGCCTCAGCCTCCCAGTGGCTGGGTTTACAGGTGCTTGCCACCACGTCCGGCTAATTTTTTGTATTTTAGTAGAGACGGGGTTTCACCGTGTTAGCCAGGATGGTCTCGATCTCCTGACCTCGTGATCCGCCCACCTCGGCCTCCCAAAGTACTGGAATTAACAGGCGTGAGCCACCGCGCCCGGCCGTCCCAGGGTATTTTTAACCTGAGTATGGCCCCGCCCAAAGGCAGGAGTTGGTGCCGTCCGGGAGGGCAGAGCACCCTCGGGAGGGATGAGGAGGTGGGACGGGGCGGGGGCGCGGGCAGGAGGGGTGAGAACAAGAGGGACCCCGGGCCCGGGGCTGCTCGCTGACGAGCGAGCGGCCAGGTGAGCGGAAGGGCAGGGAACCCAGGCGTGAGCTCTGTTTCCCGGGGCCGGAGAATTCCTGAGGAATTCCGGAGTCGGACACCCTCAGTCTTGAGAGCCGGGGAAGACTTGTCCCAGATGTGAAGTGCAGGAGACGGGTGGGACAGGTAATAAGAGGGGGCCGCGGAGCTAGCCTGGGGGTCTCTGAGGCGTTTGCTACAGCTGGCTGGTTATGGGGACGCCCGTGTTTCCCACAGTAGCCCTGACCGTTGGGCCTCCAGGGTTGCACGGGCCGCCTGCTGCTGAGCCCACCGTGTACTACACTTGTCCTGTCCGAAACTGAGCATGGTACTGGCCCCTCAGAGTGCTGCTCCTGTGTCCCCTGTGGTGGTGGAGGCACCGCTGTGTGCCCAGCACCAAACCAGAAGCCATATCCACGTCCTCACAGGCCAGGATTTCTTCCGCTCCATATTCTTATTGCAAAGTGGCAAAAAATGTCCCTTGAAGCCTGCCTGGCCGCTTAAAGTCATTCTGCAGACCAGGCTTCTCCCTGAGGTCCTGAGGGCGCTGCCCACCCACGGCTTCGGAGCCTGACTGGTGCCTTCCCATTTAGATTCCAGCTCAGGTGACACTTCCAGGTGACTCTCTGTGACCACCCTCTAAAGTAGCCCTTCCTCCCACACTTCTCATCCCCTCCTGCTAGGGATAGAGTATAAGTGTGCGTGTCTGTGCACATGGCAGTCTCCAGTGAATGCTCGTTCTCGTGAATTAGTAAATAAGTAAATAGTGTGCTGGCTTGCAACACTTCTGGATGCCCTAAGCTCTAAGCACTTTTGGGGTGCTGTTCCATTGTTGCAGCTTTTTTCTTGGTGAAATGAGGGCTCTATGCCCCTCTTCACCTGGCAGGCGCCTTCTGTCTTGGGAGGTTTCCTCAGTGCTCCCGGGGGCATCTTACTCATCTCTCTGGGAGCTTGGGCTCCTCCGGTCTCCTGAGGATCAGGCTCCCTTCTTCCTCTCTTACCCAGGAAATGTGAACGGGCCCCCAAGGTGAGGTTCTCTATGCCATCTTTCTGCCCAGATTCCTCACTTAGTACTTTTCTGGGAGTCAACTGTTTTCTTTGTGTTAAGACAATTTTGTTTTCTTTTCAGTTTTCAAATTTGCTGGGTACGGTGTACCGGCGTGGGAACCTAAATTTTACCTGTGATGGAAATTCAGTTATCAGTCCCGTGGGCAATAGAGTCACTGTATTTGACCTTAAAAAGTAAGTATGTGAAAGTGCTATTCATAATGGTGATACCGATTACTATTATCACTATTTTTTAAGTAGTAGATGAAAGCTGACAGTGTCTTCTGTGCCTTCTTTTTAATGGCACACCCGTTAATTAAGGGAGCCCAGGACAGGACTACAGGACGGGTTAGGGTCAGCAGATCAGTTGTGGAAATTGGCAGCCAGACCCAGTTCTTCGTTCTAGTGCCTTAGCCAGGCCCCGTATATCGCTTGGCTCCATTACCTGGGAAGGGACCCTGTCTCTGTGCTGTAAAGGGTGGGTGGGGAAAAGGTGTAGCTCAGGGTTAGCCCTTCCCCCATCAGGGAAGGCCCCTCAGGGCTGCTGGGGGAGTTGAAGGTGCCTTGGACTCCTGCTCGGGAGCCCTGCTGCCACTGGGCCTCACCAGTGGGACAGGCAGGCCCAAAGCTTCCAGCTCTGCAGCCGGAGATCAGTTCCTGTGGGCTGTTGCACTTTGCTTCATGGCTCTGTGTGAATGCTGTTTTACCACAAAGTGAAGGTGTGTCGAAACGCTGCTTGGAGCAAGTCAGTCGGTGCCGTTTTTCCAGCAGCGGGGGCTCACTTCATGTCTCTGTGTCACACTTTGGTAATTTTTGCAATATTTCAAAGTTTATTATACCCGTGAGGGTGTTCTGTGATCATCTTTGCTATTACTATCGTAATTGTTCTGGGGTGCTGTGATCCGTGCCCGTGTAAGACGGCGAGCTTAATCAGTAAGCACTGTGTGTGCTGTGACTGCTCCGCCGACCGGCTGTTCCCACCCCGCTGTTTCTCTTCCTCTACTTGGGTCTCCCTATTCCCTGACACAAACGATATTGAAATTAGGCCAGTTAATAATGGCCTACAGTGGCCACTGCATGTTCATGTGTAAGGAAGAGTCACACAACTCTCACCTGAAATCAGAAGCTGGAAGTGACTCGGCTTAGTGAGGAAGGCGTGTGTGTCAAAAGCTGAAATAGGCCGAAAGCCAGGTCTCTGCCACCAAACAGGCAAGTTGTGAATGCAAGGAAAAAGCCTTTGAAAGAAGTTAAAAGTGCTACTCCAGTGAACATACGAGTTACAAGAAAGCAAAACAGCCTTATTTCAGATATGGATAAAAGTTTGAGTGATCTAGATAGATCAAACCAGCCACAACATCCCCTTAAGCAAGTCAAAGCCTAATGCACAGCAAGGCCCTGCCTCTCCTCTGTTCCGTGAGGGCTGAGGTGAGGAAGCTGCAGGAAAAAAGTTGAAAGCTAGCAGAGGTTGGTTCATGAAGTTTAAGGAAAGAAGCCATCTCCACAACACAGAAGTGCAAAGTGAAGCAGCAAGTGCTGATGGAGAAGCTGCAGCATGTTATCCAGAAGATCCAGCTGAGATCATTGATGAATCTGACTACACTGAACTACAAAGTTTCAGTGGAGACAAAACAGCCTTCTATTGGAAAAAGATGGCCAGGCACGGTGGCCCATGCCTGTAATCCCAGCACTTTGGGAAGCTGAGGTAGGCAGATCACTTGAGGCCAGGAGCTTGAGACCAGCCTGGCCAATATGGTGAAACCCCGTCTCTACTAAAAGTATAAAAATTAGCTAGGCATGGTGGCACAGTCCTGTAAATCCCAGCTACTCAGGAGGCTGAGGTTCAAGAATTGCTGGAACCCGGGAAGCAGAGCTGAGATGGTGCCAGTCCACTCCAGCCTAGGCAACGGAGCAAGACTATCAAAAAATAAATAAATTTTAAAAAAAGAAAAAGATGCCATCGAGGACTTACATAGCTAGAGAGGAGAAGTCAATGTCTGGCTTCAAGCAACAGGCTGACTCTCTTATTAGGGGCTAATGCAGCTGGGGCCATTAAGTTGAAGCCAGTGCTAATTCACTGTTCGGAAAATCCTTATGTCCTTCACAGTGATGCTCAAGCTACTCTGCCTGTGCTTTATAAGTGGAACAGCAAAGCCTGGATGACAGCACATCTGTTTACAGCATGGTTTGCTGAATCTTTCCAGCCCATTGTTGAACCCACTAAGGTTCCTTTCAAAATATTCCTGCTGATGGACAACGTACCTGGTCACCCCTGAGCTGCAATGGAGATGCTGTCTTCGTGCCTGCTACCACCACATCTCTTCTTCAGCCTACAGGAGTGACTTTAATTTTCAAGTCTTACCATTTAA